TAACGACACGTGCAGCCCACTCCACTCTTTGTAGTCCATTTTTTTCAATTTTACCCCCAGTAAAAATAGTTTTTGCAGTGACCATAAAAATGCAGCGTGACATAAATGGCATGGAAAGCTGGGTGGAAATAAGGCTGAAAATAACTATGGAATATTTTAAAAAGGGAATAAATAAATTTAAGAACATTACGTTGGATAAGCCACAGGATTTATTTAAGATTTTCTTGTTATAAAAGATTAAGAAGGTCAAAATGAAAGGATTGGTTCTATTACATATTACTTATACTAGGAAAATTTTTGTTATTTAATTAATCTTTTGTTATTAATTTATTTTAGAACTTAAATAAAAGTTTCGGAAAAATAAAATAAAAAATATTCTTAGTATGTACTTAATTCGTATAAATGCCTACCGAAACCTATTTAAAACTTCTAGCTTCAATCAAAAATCTTAATTATTTAAAAATTTATTTACAAATATGACATGAGAACATTTTCAAAATCAAAGTATTAGTAGTATAGAAAATTTGTAATGTAATGAAAATGAATATATATATGTCTTCACGAAGTAAGTCAGTAGAAAATCTAAATTATATAACTGACATCTAAACTGATTAATGAGGAATCTAAAGACACCTAGGTTCACCTGACACTGAGTCGGTTCTCAAGCAAATGACATTAGGGAAATGGCTTGCACCCCAATAGGAGCAGATATCCGCCTCGGCTCATTTGTAAATCGCAGTCAACAATTGATTTATGCAGATGGATGATGTTCTAAAGGTTGCCCAGGCGAATGGATTGAATAACTCGAATGCCCCATCAGCCGGCGGCAATTCGATACCGTCACAGTTTTTGCAGTCCACCAGCAATGTTCCGAGTACAGCATGTGAAAACCGCCATAAATTAAATGGCCAGTACAATCTGTCAGTGATAAAGAGCACACGATGTTCTAGACAGAACCACAGGCAGCTCCAATTGCTAGCTCCCAAGATGGAAGAAGATGCCGCTGGCACTAAGAAAAAATGTAGTTATAATTTAGTTACATATTTTTGGGAAGCCGAACAAATGGCATAGAACAAATATCACAAGATATATTTGCAGGTTGCGTTTACATTTTTCTAGCTCTAGTTAATAATTGATGTGAAAACTTCCTTTTAGAAAAAGGCATCTATATTAATACAAATACATTTTAAGTTAATATTTAATTTTTAGTAGCCTAAACTTAGAGTTTGTAAGCATTTAATTTAAGAAAATGGTCGGTCTTGGAATAACACCAAAATAATCTATGTGTATATCCAATTGCAACTGCAGACATCTCTAATTGCCTGTTATAAACTAGAAGAAGATATTGGTACACTGAAAGCAGATACTAAGCGATTTGTTGCTAATAAAATTATTATATTTCTTAAGCAAATCAATAAAATTATATTTTCATCCTAAAAAAGAAAAAAAACGTGGAATTAAGAATAGCTTGTTAAAGTAAAATACTTTTATTTAAATGTTTTTACTTCTCTCAAAGTCGAGGAGTATGCACATTTGAATTTGGTTAAACATTCGTTAGAAACATAAGTCTGTATAACAATATTGGGTTTTTAAATGTTTAATTATACTATGTCGAAACAAAAGGAGTAAGTCAGCAAGTAAAATTTGTGATATAGCTTTACAACCCCATGATAAGTTTTAAATAAAAACGGAACCCTTTAAGTCGTGACTTTGAAGAAAACCTACATTGAATTACTTCAAATATTTTTACTCCCTATTTTTTTCAGTTTCTATGTCTGCGGCAGTGGCAACCAGTTGCATGTTCGGAGGCAACAAAGTGGCATCTTTTGGTCTCTCTCGGCGGCGGTTGGCCATTTTCTCACCTGCGGCGCTCAAAGGCGACCTCGACCTGTCTCAAGCTAAGGCAAGCCGATATGTTCTGTCTATGTGTATATATATATATTTGTATATTGCACTTGGATAGTCGAGAGGCTCCACTGTATTATTTATTGACATTCAGTGTGGCAATAGCTGGCCGCAGTGGGCCATGTTTTATGTCTCTATATTCTAAAATTGCATAGATTTGTATCAATTGATAGTGCAGAACAGGACGGAGAACTTGGTCAGCAATTGAAAGGCAACATGCAATCGCGTTGTCTGCCAGCGGCTTTTGTCAAATTGAAGGTAGCTTCTATGTGTGCCCACAACATACTATAACTATGCCCGTTGTGTGGAGATCCGGGGGATTTGGCCAGTAAGCCAGAAAGCCAGACAAAGTCGGGGCACCTTGACAAGCCTAGGCACGTCTTCGACCGGCAATTGGCCAGAGATGCTGGCCCAGAGATGCTCGAAGTCGGGCTAACTTCGTGGCTTGGCTGATTGTTTTTCCCCGCAATTTGGTCTTCTATTTCTTCGATTCTTAATGCGGGTTATACCCTTGCATCGTGTTATAGAGTTTGAAAAGATTTAATGCCAATAAGAATAACTGTGGTAAGCCAAAATCATTGGATTTGTTAAAAGTAAACATACGCAATACCTATTTTAAAAAATTAAACATTTATAGTTTTCTACTTTATATATTATAAAATATTTTATATATTGACAGGAACACGTTTTCTTAAATAAATAAAAATGATTTTGTGTAAATAAAATGTATAATAATATAATGTAATTATTTTAATATTTTAAAATGTTACTATGAAATATATAAACACATTTTTGAAATTGAAGGCAAAGCGATTGAAAATATTATTTTTATAAAAAAATTCTACATCTTTAAAGACTCTGATCAATTTTAGTTCATTAAATATCTGCACTTGTATACATTAAATCTCTAACCCTTAAGAGTATTTGCAATTCTGGTCATTTAATGTCTAATAACCCTATTTTATTTTATTTGTTGTATTTTCCTCGATTGTTACGGGTAGTCAGAACGCGCGGAATTAATTAAACGGCTTAAATAAGATGTACTAACAATTTGTTGCTAATGTGCCAATCACTCGCTTCTGCCCAAAAAGTTCATCAGCATCAGCTGAGGAACCAAAGAACAAGGAGTGTGCACTCGCAAATTAACTTTTGCATCATCATCATCATCATCGTTGGTAACATGATCAACAAGTCCCCGAATCGTGCATGAAAACATCTCCGAAGAATCAAATGAATTCGGATCTGCCCAAAAAAAACGAAAAGAGAAACGAAAATATTGTAATTTCAATATTAAATTAAAGTTGGCAAGTCTTTGTTGTTTTTTTTGTTGCTGGTGTTGCAGCATGTGGCGTGCCACAAAATAATTTGCGAATCCAAAACAAAGTGGGTCGTTCACCGCATGACTGTGGGTGTCTCATAAAAGTTTATTTCAAATCGGAGGGAATAAATGTTTTACAAAAACATTAGAAATTAAGAGATTTGTTAAACTGTTAAGATTGATTGAAAACATAGCAGAGAGGGGAAACAAATAATGCACTACAGACACAAAGTATGTAGATAGTTAATACCACAATTGGAGGCGGGGAAAATTAAATAAAATAATTATATTGCCAATTAAGCAAATGATTTTAATACAAAGTTAGCTTTTATTATCACATAAGAAATAAATAGCATCAAAATAAATGGTGGAATATTGTAATTAATACAAACATTAAAAATAAATATTTAGTAAATTTAAAGAAATATTTAATTCACTGATATTACATTTTTCAAAGTTTGTAAATTGAATAAGATGTGGGTTGGTTTTGACATAGAAATCTGATCATACTTAAAATAATTTCTTTTTGAAACATGGACTCAAAAAAAGAAAGATATTGCAACAGCATTCATATGCAACATAAGATGTCAATGTCCTTTTTTAATGCGATAACAAAGCAAGGCGAAACGATTTTGGTTTTGTAACTTTTCCAGGGATAATCCCTCAGCGGACGACTGCCTTTTACTTCCCTCTCACTCCATTAAAATAAAAACCCCCAGATTCCGCCCCTTTTGGGGTTCTTCCCAGGCGTTAAGCGATACCAAAAGTTCATCTATCGAGAGGTGTGCTAAGCGATAGCAAAAGCCATTTCCCATAATCGCAAGGCCCCCGAACAACAACAACAGCAGCAACAGCAACAACAGCAGCAGCAACATCATCGAACGACAACGACAACACGAATTTCTATGGCATCAGGGTAACAATTTTAAGGCTTGTCTCTCTTATGAAATAAGACAGCCCAGCAGAGATTTTTAAATAATTCACAGGCGTGATTGGACACGCTTCGAGTATAGTATCTATAAAAACCTAAAAAAAAAAAAAAAAGCGAAGGGGAAGGTAAACAAAATCCCTGCTTAATTTGCTCTACTCATGCAAACTCTCCTTTCGATGAGCCGAAGATGCCACCGCGATTTATGGCCAAATGTCATCGAGTTGGTCCAGTTAAAGTACGCTAATTAGTCAGTTGGCTGAACATGGCAGACACCTGAACATGTCAAGGCATTTGTCTGGGTGCCCCCAGTCCCCTTGAACCCCCTCTTAGCCCCTCGATTAGAGAGTCAAAGCGATTGCAGCCGACAGCCATTTAAGGAGCCACTCGAGGTCAGTCTGAAACATAAAACAAAACAAAACAAAACGTATCGATGACTAACCAATGGACTGGCCACAGGTGAGTTCGATCTATGATCTACACACTGCGATAAAAGAAACTTGTGTTCCTGTAATTTGCAGTCGGTAGTTATTGTAACAGAACAGAGAGAAATTGTTTAACATTTGTATACCTTTGCTTTAACTATATCCTTTAAAATTAAAAATAAACCTTTTTTATTTGTTAACTCAATAATTTACATGAGCCTTTAAGATCGAAGGTTAACCAACAAAATTCATGTGAGTGATCAGAGAGCCAAAGATTAACTAACTTTCTTTAAATAGTAAGAAATGTAACCTCCTTTTTTTCTATAGAATATTTTTGTTTATATTTTAAGTTGTCTAAAGTTTTTGGAAACCCGTTTACCTTTTGGTAAATAATTATTAAGTTTAAAAAAAATTCCAAGCCAAATTAGATTTTCGAATACTCCGTTAACAACGGATTCATATATTAGGTTTTTGAAGTGTAATCAACTGGTCGCTGATCTGAACTGGTCGCCAGCTTCCTGCTGCTAACACAGACATCATCGGCCAAAAGCAACAAAGTTCAGTTCCAATAGAGCAGCAATTGAATGGGAAATTTATTGCCAGCGATCGATCGCTCGAATCGAATTGAATCGCGGATTCAGAACTGTATCGAATATCGTATTGTTTGATTTCGATTTCGGTTTTTTGTTAGTTTGCTTCCATTTGTTAGGTTACAGGCAAAGGCCCAAAGTGCAGCAACATACACGCTTGTCCGCAATTATCGGCGTGCTAATGGAGCATTGTGAGCATGATCATAAATATTGATCGTCCACTTCCTTATGGCAGACCAAGCCATGACTCAGTCCAGTGAGGATCCCATTGTCTAAGATTTCTGGGTTCCAAGGGCATCAAGTGTTTCCGTTATGGGCAGGAATTCAATTGAAAGTACTTCCACTCAAAATACCCAAGAGGATAAATCTTTTTTACCTGTCTCAAAAAACTAGAAATGGAATAATTAAATTATTCAACGGTTGTTTTTTATATTAATCATAAAATACTTACATTTTTGTCTGAAAAGCGATAACTAAAGACAATCTAAGTTCAATCAAATTGCATAAACAATTTATTAGATTTTCTTCATATTTTTAAGGGCGATCTAATAATTACATATTCTGATCAATAAAAACAAAAACGAATTCTAAAATATTAGATAAATTATATTTGGAGCATTAAACTAATATTATTAACTCACTGCTCTTTTGGAATTCCCAAATACAATGATAGATATTTTCTCTCCAAATATCACTCGCTTATAAAATTGACCTTTATATGGTTCAAAGGATTCAGATACTCCGGATGCTGGAAAACATGAAATTGTCAGTACTTAAATATCTCCCCCAGTTTCAACCCACCGTTAAGATAGTAGGCCTGATCTTAGTATTCTTTACATTAATAACCATATTCCGACCCGTTCCCTTGGAACAGCATCCAATGGTGTTGATTACAAAGTCCTCGGTGATCTCCTCGCAATCGTTGAAATCAATAATATGCAATTGAAGGCAATTTCGTACCATCCTCATTATTCCGACGTCCGAAACCCGACCGCACGAAGTCAGACCAAATCGCTGCAGTTGATTAAGATCGTTGAAGAACTTGAAGTGATCGTCCTCCAGGACATCGTTGTTGCTAAACCGAAGGTCCTTGAGGCTACATAACTGACCCAAGCAACGGGCATGCTCATTGCTGATCTGAAACTGTCCGGATAAATGCAGATGGGTCAGCTTGTTGCCCCTCTTATCCGCCAGAACGGTAAGGAATCCGATGTTCAGCTCATTTGAAGTCATCCAGGTTTTCAGGGTGCACTTCTGAAGGTTTGGCAGGTGGGCGATAACCTCGAAGTTGGTGTCGCAACCGGAGAAGAAGAGCTCCTCTAGTTCCGTACAACTATCGGCTATCTTCTGGTACAAACTCTGGTTCATCACCTCAAAACAGCAGTCGTCCAGATCCAAAGTTTGTAAGGATTTCAGAGGAATTCCGAATTCCACCGAGTTCCACAATAGGCAGTCCCGAAGAACCAAGGTTTTGAGATTGGGAAAACCGCAGAGATTTTTGCCTTTCAAGTAAATATAAATATTAATGTAATTGTAAGACAAACATATTAAATAAAATTCATTGACAAAAAAAACAATGAAAATGTTCTTTATATTTACTTTTATATTTATGGTTATATATTTGGAATTTTGTATTTATACGAATTATTTAGAATTATTTTGTAATACGTTATACATTTTAATACATTTAACACTACTGTTTTTGAAAGTCTGTATTCCTACACTTTGATTATATACTCAGCTTCAAGCCTAAGTATATTTATATCTCAATTGTCTCCTTTTTTAACTGATATTCTCTAAAATCTGACAAAATAGAATGGAACTCAATTAGGAACATACCAGTATAGCATCCATTGACTAGCTCAAAAGATTCCAATTCCTGGTTTGACTGCAAATCAAAGTTCAGCACATCTTCTGCGTCCATGCAGTCAATAGTAACCCGCTTCAGATGCGTCATCTTGGGCATGATGGTGCGATAGTGGAACTCATCGGTGGCATTGGAGTAATTGATCTCCTCCAGATTTGGGCAATACTCCGATATGAACTCCACCAGCAGCGATTCCTTTTGAAAGGAAGCGCAGTCCACGATTAGGACTCGTATAAAAGGTCCCGCCACTTTGAAAAATCTTATCAATTTCGGCAGCGGCATCGTCTCCAGACTATCAACGTCCAGTATGTTCCGCCTTGATCTAGCCCATCCCTCAAAAGCCAATCGAAACTTGGGCGCCACACAGGCCAGCAGGACCTTATCTGATAGTAAGGGCAGGTAATCGAAAACCATTCGGATGATGTCCTCTGGCAGATCCTGCAGACTCGTCCTGCATGGCGGTGACTCTAGAGGAGCAGTTTTACGAGCCGCAATAGGAGCACGATAAGGAGCAGGAGACTTTACAAATCTCGATGGGTTTTTTGGTTTCGGCATTCTTTAGCTTATTTTGTTTGGCAACGGAAATTTTGATTAATACATTTTTGACACTTGCCTGGGTGGTATGATCGAACAATATCCTAAAATTTAAAATTTGTGAGATTTCCTAAATAGATAACATTTTTATTTAATTTGTTGGCAAGGGAAATTCGATCGTTAGCGAAGAATATGTTTTCTTTAAATTCTGGCAAATTATATCTCACTTACTCTGGAATTTGGAATTTCATGAATAAAATGAATTCATAATTAAAATGCTAAAAACTGGAGTCAAAACTTGAATCACCACAGGATGAGCATTACATTTATTTGTTGGACATTTTTATGTTTGATTTGGTTACATCCCTGACCTCCAACGGCACGGTATATATGTGGCAATTCCCATGGGTCCAGGCACTTCCTACGGTTGACAGTGACCGCCAGCAGTTTGCGGACGACAGCTGCGGGCAATTTGGCGCATTCCTCCATTATTCACCGTATAAACAAGTTTTCTTTTTGTTTGACAACAATTAATTGCATAATTGCCTGAATAATTGCATAAATCAATTGCTGTGATTGAGAAGTCGCAAAGCGCTATATGCTATACATACTTATTTATTTATTTATTTTTACCGGATATGTTTGAAGAATTAAGTTTCGGTTTTTATTTACCTTTCGTAATTCGCATTGTTTATTGTTGAAGTAAACAAGTTTGGCATAATCGTAATGCTCTACAATTATTACAGGAAAAACAATATCGATATTAAAACGGGGAAATTGTTTTAGAAATGGTTTAGATGCATTAATGTAATTCTGCATTTGAACAAAGTACTAATAAGTTAAGGAACATTTATATAAAAATGAGTATAATTCACAAATATTGTTAAAATCGTCAATAAAACTCCAAGCTTTTACTTTGTCTTGTTTATTTTGTTATATTTATACACATTCAACGGCAATTGCTTACATTGTGCTTGATTACGCTTTTTTAAGTTTTTAAATTCTGTTAATTAAAGTTGCATAATTTTTTTCAATTATATCTTTCAAATGTATGTATTATAATTTTTATCAACAACTTATTAATATTAACGTTTTGAGTAATATACTAAGCTTGATACTTGTTGCTTGTAGCTTAAGGCTCTAAGATTTAATATGCCTATATTTTAACTATCTTTCCATTTTACATGATTATCTCTGAAGATAAGGATTAAATCCAATGGGTCAATTGCATGGTGCCATCGTGTGTCCTTTGGGTATCCATAACGCTCATCTGGCGCACCAAGCGCTTCATTGATGGGCGATGAATGGGTCGACCACTTCCACTGGCCGTCGTATCCAGAGGTGTGCGCTCATCAATCCGCGGCGTCGGCTCCCGAACCCGTCGACTGTCCCTCATCTCTAGCTCCACCTCAGAAGCATTGTTGGACGATCCGGCTAGGACATCCAGGTTTTCGTACGACGCTGGTTGGGATAAGACATCCCTTAAGAGTTCAATCAAAAAAAACATTAAAATCTCATCTTTTATAAAAATTTTCTCTATTAAACTTACGGTTTTTGAGCGCAACTGCAACAATCTTTGAATTGCCAGTTCTTGCCAAACTCCTCACCCTCCTCGATGGTCTGCGGCAGACGATGATGCAGTGTCTCCGGCAACCGCAGTCCCGTCATCCCTCCCAGCATTGAAACAAAGCCCATGATAACCAGCGGCAGCTTGAGATTGTCCTTTCCCAAGTAGGTGACAAAGGGAATGACAATAAGACCCAATCCTCCGATATAACTGGACGCACCAATGCCAATGCCTCGAACTTGAGTGGGATACAGTTCCCCGGCAAAGGGATAAATTATTAGGAAGGAGGCGGATAGCAGGGCTTTGGATATCAGATATAGCACTAGGGTCTCATCCACGGCATCATCGGGCAGCATTACGGTGATCACACAAGCCACGCCCCTGGAAAAGTAATAAAGGTTTAAACCGGATAGTATATATTATTTTTTGTTCTTACCCCAATATCATGGATAAACTCAAGGGCCATCTTCTGCCCCAGGTGTCCATGAAGTACCAGCAACACAAGTAACTGGGCAACTCCACAACTGCCGACAAAAAGAAGCTCACATACTGATTGGTGCCCAACGAAGGTCCGTAGTAACTGAGTCCTAGATAAACCGTCTCATTGGCAAACCAACTCAAAGTAATCAGTATGGTCTTTAATCGCATATTGGGTGTGCGACATAGATCCATTAGCCCCACATTGGCCACCTTTTTCTTCTGCTTCTTGAGCTTATCCCGGCGGATTTGCGCCTCCAATTTAAGATGCACTGCCTCTGGAAACTGTCTACCATTCACCATGGCCATACGCTCCAGAATCTTGAGAGCTTCCTCTAGACGGCCTCGCATCAGAAGCCATCGTGGTGATTCCGGCATAACGAACATGTACAGGAAATAGGCGTAAAAGGGCAGCGAGGTGATATAGGACAGGCGAACCCAATCTCTTTCCAGATAGGTTACCGCGGACAGAAGCATGATGCCCGAAGTGTAGAAGGTGCATGTCATCACTGTCACAAAAGAACGATAGTTTTCGCCTACAAGTTCCAGAGCTGCAAAGGCAATGTAAGACACATAAGTTATTATCCTTATCAGGTGTAAAACAATCCATATACTCACATATAATAAAAGGTATCTGATAGACAGCCGGAATGGTTAATCCCACTACGACACGACTGCCTGCCCAAGTCCAGAAGTCCTTGCTCAGCGAAGTCATCAAGCTGCCCGCCAGCAAAGTGGCCAGGCAGATGAAATAAGAAAGTCTTCGTCCAGCACGATCATTTAGTAATCCAAATAGATAAACACCCACAGGTCCGCCAGTATTGAGAGCAGCCAAGCCAATTGTGGGATATATATCCTGATCGCAAACTAAATCAAACTGAAAGTTGAGGATTTGGTGTATTTTTAAGTAAGCTAATCTTTAATCCCTGGCTGAAGAGAATGCATTATGCTTGGGAAATGATTCAAGCGTAACCTAGATGAGAAATCATGTGAAATGAAGGTTCAATTTTCTGGGACAGCGCACATCGATCACAATGGAGGACCAGACGATGCTCGTGTTGTACTCCCATCCCTGACTGCACTTGACCAATGGCCAACTGCTGTTTGGTTCCATGGTGGTCAAGTCATCCTCCTCCCCTGATTCAAGTAGTTGCGTCCAATTGACTCCGTACGTATAACATTTGCTGTAGACCAGTTCATCATTGTCCTTAAAAGAAAAGGTAAAGGTATTTCTTTAAACAAACTAAAACCCCACTTTAAATCAATAAGACATCTGTTTGTTTTCCCTTTCCCACCCCATTTCATCATTGTCCCCCTTGATTACTCATCAAACCACCCACGTATCGACCCTTAACCTCCGTCAACGCACAATCAATGGGCTGACTTGATTGCCTGAGCACCAGCACTCGTACGGCTGCTTTTTGGCTGCAATTACTCACCACTTCCTTTGGTATCGCCAGCGATTTTCGCTGCTCCAGCGGCAGATCCAGTAGCTCCGGGATGCGACACCAATAGTCATCCGGAGTATCAGCCATAAACAACTGGTTAAAGGCACAGAAACCGCACGGAATGCAGGCGGGCAGGCATATGCCGAAGACCAAGAGCTTCTGGTACCTGCCAAACTCGCCGATGGTGGGCAGCAGGTCATCCAGATCGAAGGCCTCCTGGAAACCGAATAAAAAATCTAGAAAAGGTCAAGGACTTTATCTCAAAGATACGCACATCCACCGAGGGCTGGGATTCGGGCTTGTGGCGTTGTCGCAACTCCGAAAGTTCATCGTATTCGTCCCCATCACTGTCCACAATATCTGACATGGATGCGCCGCTCGACAAACTCTGAGCTGGAAATGTTTATTCGCACTGCCTGGTTTCGCCACCTCGTGGAAGCCATAGAAAATATTCAAGAACTGTCAATTGTCTAGGGTTGAAAGAAAGAGCTAGTTCTGCTGCCAAGTAAAAAGTATGCCCCAGATGGCGCCGTTTCATAATTTATAGTTTTGTTTATTCTTTAGTCGCAAGTTAGATTTAAATAGTTTAAACTAAAGTATTTAAAATATTACATGTGAATTCAATCCTGCTCGAATTACGGCTAAGACGAGCCACTAATTACAGTTGTTAGGCTTTGATATTACAAGTAGAGAACGGAGTTTAAAGTACTTCGTTTTGCGTCTCAGTACTTTTTATGGGGCTTGTTTGTTTTTTTTATCATTGCTAGAGCTGGGAAATGGACACTGCTAAACTTTACGCCTAAAGATTAACAGAACGGTGAACTATACAAAAGATGCTTCAAGTCACTTAAACTCCAACTCGTCTGCTGCTTATTGATTAAAGATTATTGCGCGCTTCGTTACTCCACGGTTCTTGCCTGATACAAATATATGTTATTGTACACATATCAATCGTAATTATAATAAACAGAAAACTGTCTGTGCCGGGCGCACAGCGCAGAAATCACACACACATTAGGCTTAAGTGTAAATTTGTGGCTACACATACAAAAATACATTCGCACGAGCTCGTTTTCCTTGAATTTTTATGATTAATCCACCTTAACCACGCTGTAGATCTTGCGTATGAACCAGAAGCACGCGAAGAACCCAATGGTGCCGGTCAGCAAGAAAAACAGGAATACCATGATGGCCGTGTAGCCGAAATACAGGAACGTCGAGGCACTGTCCTTGATCGAGAGCTTCGTCACAAAGTAATGGCAGCAGTAGATGAACAGATAGACAGCTGTGAAACCGGACGTTAAGAAGGAGCGCCACCACCAGTGATAGTCTTCTGCACACAAGTGGAAGTAGCACAGCAAAATGGTTGTCTCCGAGCACGTAATGACCAGGATGACAAAGACCAAGAATAGAAAGCCGAACATATAGTACATCTGGCTTGACCACAGCGAGCTCAGGATAAAGAACAGCTGGATGAAAATGCAGCCAAAGGGCAAAACGCCGCCCATGACGATGCCGGGAATAGGTTGTGTATAGATCGATTGGTCGGGAATCTGCCGAGGAATTTGGTTAGTGCGCACCGGGTGCTCCAGGGCCTGAAAATAGAAAATACCATGTAATATCCTGTAAAATACATAAGCACAATTTATACTCACGCGTTTACGGAATCCAAAGTAAGCCCCAACAAAGGTCAGTGGCACTGAGACACCAAACCATAGGGCAAGTAGGGCAACCAACGTGCTAAATGGAACAGCTCCCGAGCTACTCTCGCCCCACAGCACCAGATTCATCACAAAGAACAGCGAGAAGACCACACTAAATGAAAAGCATACGAGATATTATTTGACTACACATAAAACAAAAGTGCTGAAATGAATATGTTTAAAAAAAACTCACCCAGGGCAAACGATCGAGGTAAGGATTACATTGCTCTTCCACTTCAGGCCACCGAAACTCTTGTAAATACGGGCAGAGACATAGCCTGCTGGTGTGCCCAATGAAACAAACAAGACCATGGAGCAGGTCATCAAGGCGCCTCGATTGGCTGGGGAGAGGAAACCCAGGCAGGCAAAGGCCAAGGTGATCATGCACATCACCAGCACCTGCGCACCAGAACCCAGAAAAACGGACAACAGCATGCCCTTGCGCGGTGGCCTGAACACATCACCATGGACCAGCTTCCAGCCAAACTCCTCCTGGGCATCCTCGCCGCTATCCATCTGATTATAGCGGGCAATATCCTTGTGCAGAGTGCGCAGCATAATCATGGCTACCATGCCACTTAAGAAGAGAACAATTACCAAGGAGTTGAGAATGGAGAACCATTGGATATTCGTGTGTGGTATGGATTCCAGAATATAGTCCCAACGGGATGACCACTTAATGGCATCGTTCTTTATAAATTTAACACTATACGTGTAAACGATATTAAGCTGCTCTCCAGCCTTCAGGGAATTCTCACTGATTGCCAGCGGTTCACTGCCTAAGCAATTGGGGTGATCGGGATCCGCGTGCTTAATAGATTTAGGAGTAACCTTTACAGAGATGATGCGTCCACTGTTGCCGAATTGAATACCCCAGTCTTCCGCCTGTCCGCTGTGATACGTTATCTCCAGATCCACATGATTAAAGGGATAATAATGCAAGGGCTGGTTATATATGGAGTTAATGGGACAGCCCTCGCCATCGCTGCGAACAAGACAGCCCATAGGGAATCCAGTTCCGCAGTATTGCTTTCCATTCTCCAGCGGATAGCACCAGGTTACTGGCATATTGTCCACAATCCAGTGGTGCTGGTAATTTAAGCTTATTCCCTTCTTCAAAACCATCATGCGGCGGTTGCTAACAGGATCGTCACCCTTGTAGTTTTTGGTACAGGCCTAAAAAAATATATATAAATGTTATTAATGAGTACCTAAAATCAAGTCTGAACTAAAAATATGGAGCAGTTAAAACTCCTTAACTTACCTTCGCACATTGCTGATTCTCCAGGAACTGAATTTTATAGGGTCCTGGACGAATTCTCTCGCCGAAAACCACCTGTCCCAGATTCTCCACCGGAGAGTTTGCTTCCTCTCCCAAACAAAAGTCGAAGTGATGATACTCATAGGGCAATTCTGATTCCTCGGTATTCAAGCGGTTCACGTACAAGAAGATTTCCGACTGAAGAAGATAATCAATAAATAGATTAATCAATAGGTGTACCAATTCTTGGTAAATGTAGGTTCTCCTTTAATCTTATCGGAAATTTATTTATTTCTTTAAGTGTCACCGAAATAGTTTTATATTATATTTTTATGAACTATGTATTACATATGTTATTTAAAATATGCATGTGCTGCCAGCAGAACCTTAACCGTAGCTTTTTTCACACAATTTAGCTAAGGAATCATCTTATCTAAAAGCTTTTTAGGTATTTAAAAATTAATTAAGAGCGGAACACTTTAATTTTTTTATCAGTGAATAAAAGTTAATTAAAGGGCGTAACCAATATTTCTTAAGGTCTTATCTACATTCTTGTATAAAAGTTTAATTGAAATATTGATATCTCTTTATCTTTTTGCGATATTTTGTTGATCAATAACATCGGCAGCCATCCCATTATTTAAAATTAATGTTTCGTGCTCTTAAAGCAATGGAAAAATTGTTTGTTTTTTTACACTTGGATTATATTAAGCGTTTAATAAGATTTAAGTTACATTCATAAGAGTCGTAGGAATGTTTAACACCTTTCTGATGTAATTTCATCAAAGCAAAACGTAAATACACTTGATTTTTATTTAAAAGAATATAAAATTCAGATTCAATACAAATAGATCGCATTGATCTGAGTAGCATTAGTGGGTTTGCCAGTCAGTTTCAGTTATAAAACCAGATTTTAGGGTCTCTGAAAGTAAATTGCTCACTAATGATTATAATAATGATTACAAATAAGCGTTATCAGTTGTGATTCATAGTGGAATTCTTTTAAAACTTTCTTTAATTCATTTTTTGGTCGGTTGTAAAGATTTGCTAAAAGACTTACAATTTTTAACTCATGGAATAGGCTCTTAATGGTGAGCATCTAAATACATAACAAGAACATATATGAGTGATATCAAGCTTTATAAATTTAGCTTCTTGCGATATCAATCACAATGGGTAACTTTCTTTGGATTGGATATCCGTCAGCAGTAAAGAACAAGCCAAATATTCATGAATTGAAACTGGACCTGGATTCGACTGCCAACTGAACCAACATTAGAACTCCAATTTTTGCTTTTGGCCGCGTGTTTAGCCAGCGAAGTCAACGTCACCAGAAATGGAGATATGGACCCCTCATACGGGGTATACATAGCGAGTAACTAGCCTTATCAGTGCTTCCGCTTCTGACCGTCATTAGAACAATATAGCACTATTATACATCACTATTTCTAACATTGCTAATTGTTGCGGGCAAACACACCCACTAACTTATATGTATGTATCATATATATACATATATACATACCTTGCATGTGGAGGAGACATCGGTTTTCTTGCAGAAATTAACCGGCGCCAATCCGGGCAGGTAGAAAGCCTGTGTTGGGGTCACCAGGTGCAGCAGGACGACGGCCAGGAGTGGCACGAGACCGGAAAGCAGGATCATCTCGAGTTTGCAACCAACAAAAGCCAGGACTCACAGATTGGGCAAATCGCCGTTGCCCTCTTTTTTGTTTGGGTTGTATTTCAACGTGGACGTGTCAGCGACGCACTCCCACACTCTCCGGATCGGAGGGCCTTGCACAAACCGTACTAGCTGATTATTTATCTGAATATTCGGAATTTCTCGAGTGTTTTTACTACGTTTCCTCTTTTTTTTTGCCGAACGTCAGCACTGCCTGTGACAGCGTTGCCACCTATAACAACAGAAGGGGCTGCCAACCGGCTCGTGGGAGGGTGGCAGCACCCGATCAGAGCTAAATACCGCGATAATCATACAAGAAAACCAATTAATTAATATTAATATCATTAAATAAACTAGTCTAAAAACCGAATTATTTTAATTTTTACGTGTTTTGCAGCGTTTCCAAGAAAAGAAAGAACGAAAAACGAAATAGTCCAAGCTGGAAATTTAAATATTCAAGCTTAACGGAATTTTTATATATTTAGTAAAGGCTTTAATTTAAATAAAACGTAATTAAATTCAAAGAATATATACATATGGAGGAGTTTCAGAAGACAATCCCCCTGTTAACCTATTGCTAACAAATAAAAATGTAACACTTTTTATGGTTCGCACAGGGCGTTAAAAATATTTCTTGTGAACTCCTTAAGTTTCTCTTTTTTTAAAGGCTTAGACTTGATGTATTCTTCCAAAACATTTGTACCTCCCAGTTTTATGTCAAAATATTTATAATCTAAGAATATTGAGTTGTTTTCCTGTTGGTTTATTTTTAGAAATATCTTCGATACAACCGAATAATTCAAACACAACCGTTAAGTCTTTGGGGAAGCGAAAGCATTTTCCTAATAATTGGTATGTTTTAGTATCTTGTGGTAAAAAAAATCGAAAGATGTATCGGTGTTTTTCCAGCTCTAGTTCGCACTCAACTCACAGCGACCACAAGAAATATAATATATTGCCCTTCTCCGAAAAAGCAAGAAATAAATTGTGTGAGCTTTAAGTAAGCTTATAATAAATATAACTAATTAAATCTACTGTACACAAACCTTGCTTTTTTACCGTTCCAGAGGAGACAACAACAAAACGTGAGTAGCATGTGGAGTTTTCTTAAGAGTGTGTGTAGAGGTGTGCGCGAAAAAATCAATTCTTGTGACGTTCAAGGTGTTGCAACCAGTAAAAAGAAATTTATAAATCTTTAAAGTTTCATATTAACTTTAATTCCTTTTATTTTAACCCCTACAGCCGATAGACTAGTATTGCCTAGTAATTACGCAAAAATTCCATCACCTACACAGACGCACGACCTGCAAAAAGAAACGGAAAGTGAAGTAAAATATATATAGAGAAGAAGAAAAAAGAGCGCAAAAATGACTTCCGATATCGCCATGCAATTGATTGCCATTTTGGAGAAGACGGTGTCGCCAGGTGAGTTTTATGTACACACTTAGTATATGGTTGTACTCCCCCGGTCTTGAAATTTCCTTTTCTTCGAGTGGCGGGAGGGACGCGCGTTATATGTTGCGCAGGGTTGCAATATAGGCGCTTCTCGCATATGTTTGGTTGCTAGGGGCCTTCGCACACATGTGCATTTATACATATTCCGATGTCTATATGTATTCGCGCATATAATGCGCTCCTACAATTAAGGATTTATAAACCACGGCCACGAACGCCATAACCTCACAAAGAATAGGGTTCAGAGAGCCGTCGCTTCGGAGTCCGCATCGTATGTTTGGCGAACAGTTCTTCCGGTTGCCGATAAACTATGACTTAAAACTTTATGCGAACTCGAAAGATAACACATTGCGAGACCGAACAATTTTTCTCTGATCTTTAAACTTATCAATACATAAATATGAGCTATGGAATTAAGCTATCATTTGTTAATTCGTCCTAAAATTTTATATTATTCAACGAATTGACATGCATTTTTTATATCTATAATTTCTCTGTTAAGCCAAACAAACTACCCAAAATTTCGTATTGGGGGAGTTCAATATCATCAACCTAATTGGAAATAAAATTGGAGTAGAAGAGAGAAAATAACTAAATTAATTAAACATTTCAGACAAAAATGAACTGCTATCGGCGAAGAACTTTCTGGAGCAGGCGGCGGCCACAAATCTGCCCGAGTTCCTAAAGGCGTTGTCGGAGATCCTGGTGAACACGACAAACAGCGCAGTGGCCCGAATGGCAGCCGGTCTCCAGCTGAAGAATCACCTGACCAGCAAGGACGAGAAGATCAGCCAACAGTACCAGGAGCGATGGCATCAGTTTCCCAGCGAGATCCGCGAGTTGATAAAGAACAACGTGAGTCATATAGTCAAATATTCTTAGGAATACAAACACTAGAAAAATATATCCAATATGGACTCCGACTAACTCCGATATCCTTGCAGATCTTGGCCGCTTTGGGTACCGAGAACACGCGTCCCTCCTGCGCCGCCCAGTGCGTGGCCTATGTGGCCGTGATCGAGCTGCCGATGAACCGCTGGGCCATGCTCATCCAGACGCTAGTAAACAAGGTGGTTAGCGAGGGATCCAGCGAGATGCATCGGGAGGCGGCGCTGGAGGCGATTGGCTACATCTGCCAAGACATTCGATTCGGTGTGCTGGAGAATCAGTCCAACGACGTTCTCACTGCCATTATCCACGGCATGAGGAAGTTGGAGCCGAGCAATCATGTCCGTTTGGCGGCCACTACGGCACTTCACAACTCTCTAGAGTTTACCAAGTCGAACTTTGAGAAGGAGATGGAGCGCAACTTCATCATGGAGGTGGTGTGCGAGGCCACTCAGTGCCAGGACTCGCAGATCTGCGTGGCCGCCCTCCAGTGTCTGGTGAAGGTTTTGACCCTCTACTACCAGTTCATGGAACCTTACATGGCACAGGCTCTGTTCCCGATCACTTTGGCGGCCATGAAGGCGGAAAACGATGCGGTGGCACTGCAGGGCATCGAGTTCTGGTCGAACGTCTGCGACGAGGAAATCGATTTGGCCATCGAGAGTCAGGAGGCCACTGACCAGGGCAGGGCTCCGCAAAGAGTATCTAAGCATTATGCTCGCGGTGCCCTGCAATTCCTTACGCCTGTGCTCGTCGAGAAGCTGACCAAGCAGGACGAGTGCGACGACGAGGACACCTGGAGCCCGGCAAAGGCCTCCTCCGTATGTCTTATGGTGCTGGCCACCTGCTGCGAGGATGAGATCGTGCCGCATGTGTTGCCCTTCATCAAGGAGAACATCGAGTCGCCCAACTGGCGCTTCCGGGACGCTGCAGTGATGACTTTCGGCTCGGTGCTAAATGGGTTGGAGACCAACACGCTGAAGCCGCTCGTAGAGCAGGCCATGCCCACGCTTATTCGGCTGATGTACGACTCCAGTGTTATTGTGCGCGACACCACGGCTTGGACCTTCGGACGCATCTGCGATGTAAGTATAAAAAGATTATTTCAATAGCTTTTTTATAAGAATATACTAGACTATGATATAACAAAATTATACCATTTTCGGTACATATCTCTAAAAGTCTTGCCTCTATTACACTATTGCTCAATTAAACTAAACGTTTTCCTTTCTTTTTTTGTTTTAGATCATTCCTGAAGCGGCCATTAACAAGACATATCTTCAGACATTGCTTGAGTGCTTCGTAAAGAGCTTAAAGTCGGAGCCCCGCGTGGCAGCTAATGTTTGTTGGGCCTTCATTGGTCTGTCTGATGCCGCCTACGAGGCAGCGGTCACCACCGAGGGCGAGACCCCGGAGACCTACGCCCTGTCCCCGTACTTTGAGTACATCATTACTCAGCTCCTGGAGACCACCGATCGATCGGATGGAGCTCAGGCCAATTTGCGGGGAGCTGCCTATGAAGCACTCATGGATATGATTAAGAACTCACCCTTGGATTGCTATTTAGTGGTGCAGCGCACTACACTGGTGATTCTGGAGCGGTTGAATCAGGTGATGCAGATGGAAACGCAGATAAACAACCACAGCGATCGGCATCAGTTCAACGATTTGCAATCGCTTCTGTGCGCCACTCTGCAAAGTGTTTTGAGAAAGGTCCACGAGAGGGATGCGCCCCAAATTTCAGATGCTATCATGACCGCCCTGCTGACCATGTTTAATTCGAGTGCTGGAAAATCTGGTGGTGTGCAGGAAGATGCTTTCCTTGCAGTTTCCACACTGGTGGAACTTTTGGGTGTGCAGTTCGCCAAATACATGCCCGCTTTTAAGGACTTCCTAGTCATGGGCCTGAAGAATCACCAGGAGTACCAGGTCTGCTGTGCCTCTGTCGGACTCACCGGCGACATATTCCGCGCCCTTAAGGACTTAATGGTTCCCTACTCCGATGAGATAATGTCTGTGTTGATGAACAACCTGGCAGAACCGACTTTACATCGCAGCGTTAAGCCTCAAATCCTATCTGCCTTTGGGGACATAGCTTTGAGCATTGGAAGCCACTTCCTTAAATATCTAAGCGTGGTTCTAGACATGTTGCGAGCCGCGTCCAATCTCCAGGTGAGTGTTTTTAAATACCCCATTGAGATTTGGAATGTGGATCTTTCATATTTATAATTTTTTTTGCAGACGGATGCCAATAATTTCGACATGAATGAATATATCAACGAGCTGCGCGAGAGCGTTCTCGAAGCCTACACTGGCATTATCCAGGGCCTCAAGGGCGTGGATCAGACAGCTCATCCCGACGTGGCACACATGGAGCCCCATCTGATGCACATTATATCCTTTATCAAGCGCATTGCTCAGGAAGGCGACGTTTCGGACTCGATGATGGCCAGTGCCGCAGGATTCATTGGCGATCTGTGCACCTCCTTCGGACCGCGTCTGTACCCGCTTCTGGACGATGCGATCATTACCCACTTCCTTGCCGAAGGCAAGCGCTCCAAGGGACAGCGCACTAAGATGCTGTGTACTTGGGCAGTAAAGGAGATTAAGAAGATTAATAGCCAGGTTATCACGCAGTAGATCGCCTGCTAGAGGTTAATGTTTCCCTGCTTTCCACCAGACCCTCAAGATTGAATGTTATGCATCCAAACTGGTAAGTACACTGAGTTCTCATTCTGTATTTCATCAGCGAATGAATGGTGAATTGGGCTGAGTCGATTTTTGGGAAAGGCAATGTTTAAAGAATCGTATAGATATCGCAACGAAAATCGACACAACCTGCTAATGATGGCTATTAGTTTTTTATTTAATTTTAATTTTATTTAATTTCTCTATTTTTGCAGTCCAGTCCGAATTCTCTGATAAAAAGATTCTATCTGCTAAGTTTGTTTGTCCGATCTATTGTTGCTGTGCAACGTGTAAATGCTAAGAAAAATTGTTTATAAAACCCCAATAGTTTTAAGAGCAAAACCGAACCTTTGTTTCGACCCAATACTTTAATTAAGGCCCGTTAATCTTCGTGTGAGTTTATTTACCCATTAATCCATTGTCCTCGCTTGGTAAAGCAAGCCCAAAAATAGGCTGCCCATTGACTAAAACATTGATAATTATCTCTTCATGGAATTATGACATTTATAAAAATCCGGCTTTAAGGGCAGCCTTGATTTGGGATTGCTACGGAATCCGGCGATTTAGTAGCCCGATTTTAAGCATTACCAAAAAGCTTACGAAGCTGTTATATAAAATTATGTGAAATTTAAATTTAATTGTAAAAATCGGTAGAAAACAATTGCGTCAACAAGTAGAACATATTAAATGCATTGCACCTCTTTGGAAACATTAACTAGTAGCGGCTGTAAGAACCACACTTTAAGTTATAAGAATTAATGTATCTATCCTACAATCCTCACTAGCCCAACAAAAAAAATATAAAAAAATAAGAATGAATGTCTTGAGTGTGAACCGAATGTGATGGAATGAAACATATGGCTGAGAGCGAGTATGTATTATCTAAAAGTCAGCGTGCCTGTTGTCCGACACCTTACCCTCTATGCCTATAGTTACACTGTGATGAATGCTTGAGAGGAACTCTGAAAAATGGTATTATGTGATTGCGAGAAACCCCACGAAAATGGACGAAGACTTCCTTTTTCTTTGGCGCGCGTGTGTATCGGCGTGTTGTGTGATATTATGAATTAAGCGTAAGAATTTGTCTAGTGAAACGAAACGAATGATTTTAGACGTAAGCAAAACAGCAAATCAAAAAGATTTTAAACGGATTTGAATTTAAATTTACAAGCAAACGAAACGAAACTAAATGTAAAACACTTAAAGACGACTGAGAAACCAACCTAGCAACTAAAAAACGAAATACGAATTGACTTAGGGACGTACAAAGCGGCGGGCATGACTGTTTCAAAACCCAACTTCAAAAACACCCATTAAAGAACAAACAGCGAATCGAAATCCAGAATATATACCAATGTTTAAATCAGTCATGCTCAAGCCCACAAGAACATGAAATTATTTTATTTTTGTGTATACGATTATGTGTGCTCTCATTAATTCCAATCAATGACGCTTAATTTGCATCTCACTTTATTTTATGTTTTATTAAAATGAAAATGGGGTGAAAAGCAACGAGAAACAAACAAAACAGAAAAAAAACAACAACCAAGCAACTACCTGCAGCACACACAACACATGTATAATTAATATATATATTAGGTAAACGCAAGATACTAAAACAAAATACGCAACGGACCAGGGTATACAACAAAACATAAATAACAGAGGTGCTAGACAAAAAATTTTGTGATTTAAAATCGTTCCGAAATGTGTCAAAATATTTAATTTCGAAAAATTAATTACTACATTTTCCGAACAGACTTTTTGACGCCATAAGAATGGATTTTAAATCTTAAAATAAATGTCTGGCCACCGTGAAAATCATACTTACATAGAATTGTAGAACGCGCATAAAGACATTACATGACAGCTTAATAGGACAAAACAACGACACATACTTCATTTAGTTATTTTATCATAACAAACCATACAAAAAACATAACCAGAAACTACCTTACGAAAAAGACGCGACTGTGAACGATGAAAAGCAAATAGAGGATAAAAATGAAGTCGAAACTAACCGTTTAAAATCTTTTCACAACATTTAAATATACTAAGAACAAGTGAAAACTGGAATGAAGTGAACTATTGTGAACTAATCTATGTATAAGCGCACATATAATACGAATACTGTTCAGAAATGTCAAAATTGTAACCGAGAATTCCTTTAACTAAGCTTCAACCACATTTTTGCTCTTCTTCAAAGGAATTCTTTAGCTCAACAAGTTGTCATTTCAATAAAAAAATAACATTCATTGGTAATTATTGTCTCGTTTTGCAATAAGGTATCGAACAGCCGTCCAAGAGAAAGGGGTTATTTAAAAACAAAAATTTAATATTGTTTTATCAGATTTGAACATATCAAAAATATTCATTTTGAAATGGCAACTTGTATTGCGCACACTAAAAGGAGACATGAAATTGCCAAAATTAATTAGATAAACATTAATATTAGCTATGAATGATCGGATGCGGCTGATAAAGATGAATGACTGAATCTTCGGAAATCAAAAGCTGAGCAACGCCTAAAGGAACATGAACGTTCATGGCTGTGGTATGCGAAATGTAAGTGATGGCTGGAATTTTTGTAATCACTTTACCAATATTAAATAGCATATCTAAAAGAATCGAAATAATGCATCATAATAACTGCTAATAATCACATTTTTCAACCTTCTTTTTCACAGGTGTGTTGATTGAGTATGAAGCTTGGTGCTGAATATAATGATGATGACACTTGTGCATTGAATGATGATGATGAATTATGTGATGATTGACCATGGTTGTTTATGAGAGTGACTGATGATGAAAGAAGAAGAGTATATCTAGAAGAAATCACCAACAAACTAATACAAGACACTCAAATCATTTAGCACAAATTTCTACCTTTTATACATACTTACATTTCCCACTTTTATAAACAGTAGGAGTGCGTGAAACTGTGACTGAGAAAATTTGTATGTTACCATTCCAAAAAACGAATACAAAATCGCTAAATTTGAGGGACTTTTAAGTTTGTTTCATCTAGCTGTTAAGAAATGATTTAATGTCACTAGAGTAAGCCAATATAATGGATGGTAAATGGTTGAAAGGCAAGCTCTAATAAAAAAGTAATAGTGGACCCACTTTTTGGACACTCCACTGTGTAAACTAAAGGGTTTTCAATGGGCTTGCCCTTCAACTCTTGCCTTGTGTTCGAGTGTTCGTCGTCTGATCTAAGCTTAAAAAATAAATAAACTTAAAACGCAACTGTAACTTTGCCTGTGATTCGATCATCTGTATGAAGTGTGCTGTATGAGTCTTGTGTGGATATATATAATGTAACCAAAGCACCCCGCGCAGCAGAGAAATGATATTTTTTTGTAAACATTTAAAGGATTACAAATAAATGCACAATTGCAAGTGTGAACTAAAAATAAATTGAAAACGTAACATATGGTACTGATTTTATACTGAGAACTGAGACTTACTATATATACATACAACAACAACACAACCCTACAACTTACTTAAGGACTCACAAGGATTACTTTACGCAGGACTATACACTACGTACACTAGAACAATACCACACACCAAACGCCAACTAGTGAAATTTACAACATCCACATTACAAGCAACTCATTACACCTACGTACATATGAACATTATAATGGATTATCTTAAATATACAAAAAAAAATTGGTGAAGCTGACGCGCGGTGCTTACGCCGAATTAAATCTAGTATATGTATGTGCTACTCGGTATGCTAGTTAATCCTAATTTAGTCAGTAAGTAGGAATGCGCGAGAGAACATTGACCCACGGTTGCGATAGGAGAGAATCAATTATGTTACGTTATGTAGTATGCTGTATTATCAATAACTAAATACACACCCCCCTCTGAATATCAAAGCGCGGCCTAACTGTTCCGAAACAAATTGTATGACTGATAGTTTGTACGCGAAATTTTAGCAAATGTAAAATGTGTCTGTGTGCAAGAGCGAGAATAAAAGAATTTTGAATGCAAGAGCAACAAAAATCAATGTGTTTTATTTAATGTGAGGATACATCTTTTAAAGTTTGGCCTTCTCCGGAAGTGTTAGTACTCCCGAGTCTAGTAAGTCTTTTAATTCCTGGGGCTTAAGGTCCAGTTCTTCGATTAGGCTGCCCAGCTGCTTATTATCAGTTGCCTTGGGCAACTTTCCAGGAGTTCTACTTAGAAGTGGAGCTGGACGTGGAACAGGCGTTCCCTGAATAACCTCAAATGATTCCCTCTCCTTATTGTGGTCGTGCTTATGAACCTCCCGGTAGTCCAGCACGGGATAGACACAAGAGTCCACATCCTCAAAGATCTGTGACCATTCCGCTTGGGTTTTGGTTAAAAAGGCTTCTGTGAGAAGCCTCCTTCCACGATCCTGATGCTCCTCACCAAATTGGGAGAGATCATCTGGGAGTTGCAAACGCTGTCTCAGAAGCTCAAAGAACTGCGGTTCTAGGGCGCCGACTGACATGTAGAGACCGTCTTTGGTTTTGTAGGTATCATAGAAATATGACCCACCATCGATGAGGTTGTCACCCCGCTCTCGTCCCCATATTTCTAGATTCCGGGACATAAAAAGCCAACTGGCCACATAAGCAGCTCCTTCCACCATGGAGGCATCTACCACTTGACCCCTTCCGGAATTGTGGCGCTCCAAGAGGGCGAGACAAATGCCCAGGGAGCACATCACACTGCCGCCCGCGAAATCTGCCAGTAGGTTAATGGGTGGAGTGGCCTTCTCATCACGCCTGCCCAACATGGAAAGCACTCCCGATATGGCGGCATAGTTGATATCATGACCCGCCCGTGGTGCCAATCTTCCGTTCTGGCCAAATCCCGTGAGACGGGCGTAAATCAGGCGGGGATTCGCTTTACATAACTCAAAAGGACCCAAATTAAGTTTCTCCATAACTCCCGGTCTAAAAGGCTCGATGAGGATATCGCATTTATGGGCCAACCGGCGCACCAATTGCTGACCCTTTATATTCTTCAGATCCACGCTTATTGTGCGTTTTCCCTGCTGCAGTACGTCCAATGGATTATCAAGAACCTGATTAAAATAAGTAAATTTAAAAATCTGTTTTAACGAGCCTAATGTTTACCTTATCGATTCGGGTGACGGTGGCCCCAAAATCGTTCAGGATCTTGCCACATAATGGTCCCGGAGCTAAACCCACGAATTCCAGCACTTTAATGCCTTTTAACGGCATTTTTCAATGGGTTTTTAACTGAAAAGTAAGAAGGCAAGTAAATGCACTTTGAACGCCATTGTGTCAGGGCTGCCAACTTGTCAAAGCTTTTATTACTTATTCGTGATCAGAGAAAATCACAAAAGCACTGATATCGAAAATATTTGAATTAAAAATTAATTAAAATGAAATGTATTGGGGCTGCAGAAGATGAACCAAAAAATAAACATATCTGCGATTTGGGGAATTGTAGATGACCCGCTGTGTGATTGTCGTGACTCAACTATCGAACTTTCCAAAGCTCGACAGCCCTGTTTGGGCATCTGGTAATGCCAACTTGTCCGAAACGTTTAATTCGCAGAAGGGAAAAGCCGCAACAACATTCAATCCCAATTACTGCAACTTACAAATTTGCTAGCGCTAGACAAAACAAAATTGACCGGAAGTTAGACCAGGATTCGACCCAAAAACAATGCCACAGCAACGGCGCAAGGTGGCCTTCAGCGGCAAGAAGAAGAAGGACCAGATGCTGCAAAAGCGGAACACAAAAGGTGAGAAAACATTGTGGCCACCTGTAAAAAAGGGGAGGACGGATGGAAAAACGAGCGGATGACTAACAATGTTACGCCGGCAGGTCCGCCCAAATATTTGAGGAGCACTCAGGAATCTTACGAAGATAGCGATGTGCCTGAAACGACAAGGAAACTCATGGAACAGCCTTTCGCTCGCGGAGGAAATCGAAACAAGAACGTAAATCGCTATAACCTCCAGTTCTACCAGGAGGGCAAGAAGGAACTCGAGCAGATGAAGCAGGAGGGCTTCAAACCTCTGGAAGTTCTGAGTTCCAAGGAGCGGGAATTGGACGACCGGTATTTCGCCGGTTGCGACTTTCCAGTGCGACCGCCCTGGAAAATCGAAAACTCCAAAGAGCAACTTGATCGCACTGAGAATCGGTATTTTAAGGTAGGTCATGTCAAAAGTTGTTACTAATCCAAACGAGAATGATTTCTCGTTGAAGAAGTTTCTCAAGTTTACTTCGGTTGTTTATATACCCTTGCGAGTATAAAATTAAATAAAAAGCTAATTTAATTTACTTAATTTTATAAGCCATGAATTTAATTTACGTATTGATAGCGTTAAAACTTCAAAATTAAATTCATAATTAATCTTGTATAATTTTCCAGGAATACGTGGACGACCTGCAAAAGAAGCAGCGTGCTGGTGATTCCAAGGAACTCTCCCTATTCGAACTAAACTTGGAAACCTGGCGCCAGCTGTGGCGCGTCCTGGAGTTCTCGGATATCCTGCTCATCATTGTGGATGTGCGCTATGCCACTCTGATGTTTCCCCCCTCACTCTACGACTACATCATCAATACTCTCAAGAAGCATGCTATTGTGGTGTTTAACAAAGTGGATCTAGTGGAGCCACAAGTGGTAGTGGCCTGGCGGCAGTATTTCCGCGACCACTACCCCCATCTGCCGGTGGTGCTCTTTGCATCGTATCTGCCGCGATCCCGTAAAGGAAGCCAGCGTGGACCGCAGGCGCATCGCAGAAGCATGGAGGGGGTGTATAACATCTATAAAGAATGCCAACGCTACGTGCAGGAGGAGGTGGATCTGACGGCCTGGGAACAGAAGATTCGCGAGGACATGCGCAGCGATCAGCTTGAAATCCTGGATGATCTGGCAACGGCCGTGGAGGGTGAGCTTAAGATAAGCAGCAGCATCGACACCACTCCTCACGAGCATGTGAAGTATCACAGTGGCGTACTGACCATTGGCTGCATTGGTTTCCCAAATGTCGGCAAGTCCTCGCTGATCAACGCCCTAAAAGGACGCAAAGTGGTCAGCGTGAGTCGCACGCCTGGACACACGAAGCACTTTCAGACCATTTTCCTCACCCCACTGGTCCGCCTGTGCGATTGTCCCGGTCTAGTCTTTCCTTCAAGTACTCCCAAAAGCCTCCAAGTGCTGCTTGGCAGTTTCCCAATCTCCCAACTGGCTGTTCCTTATCGCTCCCTGAAGTTCCTCGGTGAGCATATGAATCTACCGCAGCTTTTAAGGCTCCACCTGCCCGAGGACTACGACGAGTGGTCTGCGGTGGCCATTTCCGATGCCTGGGCTTATAAGAGAGGATTTCTTACCGCCAAGGCGGCCAGGCCGGATCGCTATCGGGCTGCCAATCACATCCTTCGCATGTGCCTGGCCGGTCAACAGCTGCTGGTACTCCAGTTCTATCCACCGGGATTCGAGGAGCGGCGTGATCACTGGCTCCAACATCCCGATCTTGTAGAGGTCAAGAAGTACCAGCAGGTTGAGCTGGAGGAGCCGGAAAGTGAGACCAATGGCGACACCTCCTCGGTCTGCTCAGATAGTGAGTATTTAAAACAATTTAGAACTTCAATTTTAACATAAATATAAAAAACTCATTTTAGCTGCTGACAGCGATGACGAAGATGAGGACAGCTCCAATGACGAGACCAATGCAGATGAGGACGAGTGTGCCTTCGAGGAGGATCCTCCAAGATCCCGCAACGTGTTCGCTCTCCTGGAGGATGACTAGATGGATGAATTTACCAAGAAATTTTGTTATTGCATCACTAGTTTGCATGTATAATTTATTATTAACATATACAATGTTTTGCTATAAGAATAACACACGAAGATGACTTATTTCGTGAGCTAAACAATAAACAAAAACACCAGGCTAATGAGGCAGATTAGATGTCATCAATTTCATCCGAGGAAATGTCCTCGCAAAGTCTTTCGTCTAGCGAGAGAAGTAATTCAATGGCTCTGCGGAAGAAGGAAAATAATAATTACGTTGGGACATTTTAAAAAATTTTACTGACTTGATCAACTGCTTTTCATAACCATTCTCTTCGATGGGCGCTGGATATAGTGCTTTTTTGAGCAGCAGTTTCTCCAAGTTGCTACGCAGCTCTAGAACAACATCGGCAGTTTCTTGATTACACTTAAAGCTAAGAAAATGAATTAGGTTTACTACAAATTTAAGCAAACATTTGTTGAACTCACTAATAAGTCTTGGCCACGCATAAGTACGGCGTATTTTGGGTAACTCCCGCCTCTACGCCATCGCCAAAAATAATCAGCGCCATGGGAAACACCATTGTGGAGTCGAGCAAGTAGAGATCGGTGGACTTCTGCCGCTGGAAGTAGACAAAGTAATCCGAATCGAAGCCACTCTCGCCACAGTTAACCGAGGAGGGATGGAAGTTCACACGGCGTCCATCATCCGTTGCCATGGTGTGAATAGCACGCACTCGGTTTTTAATCTGTCGCGACTTTCTGCAGATAAATATATATACGTTTCACGTTGTTATTGTGTTTCCATACTAGTTACCTCAGGTGCGCCATATTGGGATAAAGACCTGCTCCAATAATGGCCCTCAACAAGGGAATCTTTCCGGAATTCATGTTGGATGCGGTATCTTTGCAGTTTGAGGATGTTAGAAACCTATGGATACAGAAAATCATAAAGAAATCAGGCAACTAATTAAGTAAACCTCTTGACAATCTCACTTGTAGTTGTAGAGCAGTTCACTAAACTGGTTCTTCATCCTCTCCAGCTGCTGCAGTGTCATAGAGCTGAGAAAATTCTTATAGCAAAAGTCACGTTCGGCATGCGCATAGCGACTTTCTCGGTAGTCTATAATTGTGTTGTGCACCAAAAGGTGGTCACTACGCATATTACGGGCCATCCTCCGCTTGATCTCGTCCACTCGACTCTCTTGGCCCAATGGCGCGTAAAAAGGAGACTTAAACGACAGAGCAGCCGCTGCCGAAGTGATGGGATCCAGGCAACAAAAGAGAGCCGACATCAGTATCATTTTGCCCATCTGCGGATCGATGGGGAGCTTGGCTAGGTGCATGCCCAGAGGAGTGAGGATGCCCGACTTGTCCAGAGCCTCAATGCTGATTCAAATAATAAGTACATTAGCAGGGTTTGTCAAGGAGTAATCTATTTAACTCACCGCATCAGCAGGTCCACTCCCAACTTGATGGCCTCGGGATTGGGGGGATTAATTAGGGTTTGCAAGAACCGATACGGATTATCGATGTGCAACAGCTTGAGGCTCAATATTATGGATTCCAGCTTGGAGCGTAGTATCTCCGGCGTTGGAATATCCGCCATTAGATCCTCCCTAGCGCGGGTAAACAGATTATAGCAAACCCCTGGCCGGACTCGACCTGCTCTACCTTTCCTTTGTTGCGTATTCGCCTTGGTCACCCAGACCTCCTCCAGAGTCTGTATGTTCGTCTCGATGTCATAATTGGTGGCCTTCGTCCGGCCAGAGTTTATTACATAGACCACATCATCGATGGTCACCGATGTTTCGGCAATGATTGTCGAGATGATAACCTTCCGTTTGCCCGCCGGCGGACGTCGGAACACAGTCTGCTGTTCCGCCGATTGCATTAGGGAATGTAGTGGGAAGACAGCTATTTGATCCTGCCATCGTTGGCCTTTTGGAGATTTTGGTCTTTCCAGGAGATTGTACAGCTGCGAGATTTTATCATAGCCCGGCAGGAAAACCAAAATGGCACCCTCCGGCTCATTTTCACAGATGTAGTATACCAGATCGGCTATAAAATCAATGTCCTCGCAACCTTCAGACTCCGGCAGTCGCAACTTCTCCAGCACGTGGCTGTCGTACAAGTGCCTGATGCGCCTCAGATAAGGTCCTATCATCGCCTCATGCATCATCCGGCGCTCAGGACGATCGCGCTTGGGACGGCGATCGCGGGATTGTTGAAACTGGTAGTTCGTTTTGGCAAGGACATCCTCCAAGTAGAGCATCTGCACGGGAAACATCACTCCTTCGATGCGGAACATTGGACAGTTTTCGAAGTAGTCGCAGAAATCCTGTTCCCGCACAGTGGCGCTCATCAGGATCACCTTCAATTGGGGTCTATGGGGCAGGATAACCTTTAGAAGACCCATCAAAAGATCGGTTTCTACGCTGCGTTCGTGTATTTCATCCAGGATCAGCACACTTAGATTGTGCATCAGTGGATCGGACTGAAGCTGTTGCAGCAGCACTCCCGTGGTGCAGTAGGTGATGGACGCTCTATCGCGCGCCTTTCGGCTCTCCAGACGAATCTGATAGCCCACCGAGTTGCCCAGACTCTCGCAGCGCTCGTAGCTAACCCACTCGGCAATGGTTATGGCCGAAATCCTTCGTGGCTGAGTGCAAACAATGCGGCACGATGAGGCGCAGCCCCGGGAGATTGCATCGTCCAGGAGGATTTGGGGCACCTGCGTGGTTTTGCCACATCCGGTGCTGCCTACAATCAGGATAACCTGGTTTTCCCGCACAGCCTGGACAATCTCCTCGGCGTATTTCATGGTGGGCAGTTTTTGGCGTGCCGCCCAACGTTTCCTGAACTTTTCCCCCTGCTGGCGGTTCTCCAGCTCCTGCAGTAGCTTTTCGTCCAGCTTGGGGTTGGCGAAATCAACTCCTTCATTTTTCTCCTTCGTCTCCGCAACGAATTCTTCAAAGTTTACGCTCAGAAGGTGTCGAAACTGCCGCTGAAACTGGGCATCCACATCGGAGTTTTCCCTGGCCGGTGCTCGGCTGTAGTCCACCATGAACTCCTTGACACGTGAAAGAACACCGCCGGGCACACTGACTTTGCAGCCCAGGCGGATTTCCGGCTCTTTGGGGTCCGCACCCATTTTTCGCTGCCGAGATAGATTGCGATAATAAAGGCCGATTTCCTTGCCCCTGAGTCCTGGTGGCCGGTTGCCCTTGCGGGCGTGCGAGCCGGAGGAGTCCCTTTCACGTTGCATTCCACTTAATTTTGACGCATATCCAGGATAAAAAATACTTTCGACCGAAATGAACCAAATACACAAGACACAGCTGGTAGGGCTGTCGCCCTGTCTGAATTTTTAGATCAGCTGATGGATGATAAAGTGCTGCCAACTGATCTTAATAATTTATTTTGTAATACCATTTTGTTTTTATAGCACCTTTTAATTGAATTAAACATTAATACAAAATTGATATCTCTCATTGACAAGACCCAGAAGACCAAAGTAAATATAATACCATTTCGGAAGATTGTACAAACTAACCCAATATTTTTGTATATATTCATTTTAAGACAACCACATATGGTGTGTTAAAAACTAAATAACCTATTTTCCAATTTAGATAATAATAATAGTTTAAGAAAATGAAATGTTTTAGGAACTTTAAAATTTTGTAGTTTTAGGTCTGGATCGAGTCTGTGCTAAAATCCCTTAACGGATAATGTGAGGTATTTCTTAGTATATTTCTTCTCATCCCCTGTGGTATTGTTAAACGATCCCGCCACGGTCACACTGACTCCGATCAACGCGCTGAGCGAAACGCTTGTGTTAAAAGATTTAATTTTTTGCGATATACGGCCGCGAAAAGCCAGCGATCTGCATGCCAAGTGGCCTGCAACGAAACAGACAAGTGTGTGCATAGCAAAAAAGCCGGATAGCCGATTGTATTTGATGTTTAATCCGCGGCAGCAAAGCAACAAGTGGCAAAAAGCAAAGGCAAAACCAAAAGCAACAACTAAATGAGTAAGAAATTATACACTGAAAGAAAAACTAAAGTCAAAGAGCAGAAAAGTGTTTGCGCGCAGCTTGTTATTTTTTGTGCCAGCGCCGCGCAATAAAACAAACAAAAAGCCAGAGACCAAAAACAACAACCACAACAAAAGCCGTTTGATCGCGAGTTAGCTTGTGTGTGTGTGTGAGAGTGGCAAGCCATTATTTTTCTGGTCTTATGACGTAAACCACCGAAAAAAATCAAAAGTGAGCAGGCGACATAGATATCAAAACGAAGGTGAGCGCATTTTTACCAATTCTCGCTTCGTTTCTTGGAATTCCAGGCGGTTATTAGAAGTTTTTATACTTGTTTACATTTTCGCAGTTGCAGCAGACATGCACACACACTAATGCATTTATGAGAGGGAGAGGGGGACAGACGAGAGAAAGAGATGCAGTGCATGTAAACAAAATAGAGAAAGAGGCAATTGCTGTAAATTCTTTGGCCAAAGAAATCTTGTTGAAAGCATTTCCTCCGCACATGCTTATGTGTATTAGCGACCTGAAAAGAAATTGTTGCCCTGCTTGAACTTGTCGCTCAACTCTTTCCCCTTTCTATCCTCGTTCTCCTCTTCCCACACACACACCACTTCATTCACAATTGGCCTTTTGCGGAGTCACAATAAATATTAAATTTGATTTCTCTAGCCGACCATTGTAAATGATTTGCCGACAGTTGGCACGCCCATTCGTCACACTTAAAAAAAAATATCCTTGAAAAATGTACATTTCAGTTGAAAGTTAAATAAAAATCCTTCATGAATAACTTCAAATTTCCTAATCACAATTTTTAATGTTAATATTTTTGGAAAAATTATTATTATATTCAGAAAATTCCATTACCAAGATTAGATTTTATAATTTTAATAACTAATTATTTTTATTTCATTGTATTTTATTTAATGATTTAATTAGATTTGATTATTTTACTTGAATATTGTTTTAAAATCAATTATTTTTAATCATGTTATTTAATATCTCCATCTCATTTTTTGTTCTTCCAATCAAAAGTCATCTTATCGTTTTCCTTTTCCAAATAGATGTTATCTTATTAGTTTAAAGCTTGCATGTTTGAATATTTCTGTAAAACTCTCGAAACAAAATCATTAATTTTGTTATAATTACTCTCAATATAAATAAATGCATTCTAATTTATTTGCTGAAAAATATCATATTAATTTTTATATACTTTCAATAAAAACAGAGCAATAATTGTCTATATATGTATATTTCTGTGCTATCCTACAGAGTTACAATTATATTTTAGGCGTTAAAAACTAAGTCAATTAAACTTATAATTGTTTTCCGTGCAGCGAGCAAGAAGCGTTTGCAAAACCTGTTGCTCGTTTGCCTTTTTTATTTTGCTGTTTTTTGCCACTCCAGCTGCTGTTAGCCGCTGTGATTCCATTAGTGATTCATTAGATGCGTTGGCCAAAGCTAACGCAAAAGCTAAAGCTTGTTCCCACCGCATCCTTCAGTAGAAGGCAATTCAAATGCTAACGGCCTGCATTTCGGCCTGGCCAAATGAATCACTCATCAAGCATATATTTTAACCGTTCTCTCTCTACTTAATTCTATATTTTGCTCACCGAATTTCGTGCCATTTCCTATTATGGCTTGCCGCGATTATCGCATCATTTTGTAAATTTAGTGCGCATTATTAATGAATTTGTCCAAATTGCTTGATTTATCTTTGAGCCTTTTGTTTATGATTTTAACCAGCCGTTTTCACGCTTCGAATGTTTTGAATAGCTCACAGCAGGTAATTGTAGTTTTTAGAGACTAGTAGGGATTTTATAAATATTTTTAATAAATTAATTTTTGGAGCTGGTAAATATCCTTTAAAAGATAAAAAGAAGAGCATTTAGTTGAATACCTTTCGATATTTGTATCTAAAATCATTATGTCAAGTTTCCAAGATCTCACTTTTAAAGAAGCAGTGCTATCGGTCCCTTCATCTCCTCATTATGTAAGTGTTAATTGAAAATTCCACACTCCGTTGAGGCTGAATCGGCATTATGGGCACCCCAGATAATTGTAAATAAACGAAAGCTGATAATGATCGACCACCTCCCATCCATCGATTGGATGCATTCGTTGGAAGCCCATTATAAATCGCGGTCTGTTCAGTTCTCGGCCAACTGTAAACAAAAAACAGCTGGGCATGTTGTCTCCCCAAAAATACTAAAAACTGCGCATGTCTCAAAAACCCTTAGTGGCCTTTGTTTAGTTTTCTTTTAGTTGTTCACCGAAATGCGTCTCAAAAAGCTGGGGTTAGGATTTTCGCTTAAAAAAATATTAAAAATAAACTTAATTTATTTGTTTTCTTTGCAGAATGTCTCGTCACGAGAAAACCAAATCCACGGGTGGCGGGCTCTTGGATAGTCTGTTTGGAAGGCCCTCAAAATCCAAAGGTGGAACGGTCAGCAGTGGAACCTTAACCCATGGCGGACGACCAGTATCAGCGGATAATTATGTGGTGCCGGGCGTGGAAGATTTTGAGCAGTATATCCAGCAGCTGACCGTTGCAGAGCTGGATGCTAAATTCCTGGAGATCATAGAGGATATGAACATACCCAAGGATAAGAGGGAGCCCCTGTTGGCTAAATCCAAGGAGGAGCGGCAAAAGATGATTATGTGGCACTTAAAAGGTAACAAAATATATAAAAAAAAGGAAAACAAGTCGATGATTCTGTACCCTTAGCAGCTAAAATGAAAATGTTTTTGCCAATAATGACAACATTAAAGCTACAAAAGTTTTAAAAATAATCATAAATTATAGTTATTAAAGTAAAAACTTTTCAGCCAGATTATTTTTGAGATTTCGTATTATTATTGTGATAAACGACAAACTCTAAAGTTGTATTCACCTATCGTTAAAAACTACTAAGTTATGAATATTAAAAACTGAAGACACCTTCGAATTAATGGTTCCTTATTTTATAGGTTCATCCATATCTCTAAGTTACAAACCAGTTGCCAAGCTAATAAATCTCACTGCAAGGGTATAAAAACATCAGACAATCGATTTTCGTGCAACCAAGTTGGATGACTGTTTACCCTTCTTTGTTTTTGCCTTATTCCCGGGGTATATTGCATTCCATTTCTGATAAGATTAGCAGGTAACGGTACGTGTATCTGTGTGCTTTGCTTTTTAGCGGTGTGCGTGTGTCTGCGAATTTTCGCTTTTGTTTGCTTACCGTTTTTATTTAGTTGCCAATTTGCTTTTGCCCATGTTCCGCTTTATTGGTTCTCTTATCACATACCGCTATCCCGAGGGTTGTCGTTATTTTTTAATTTGTTGACAATTATTCGTATTGATAGCTGTGATGTCAACGATCTTTTAGATCATTTTAAAAATACTTAAGTTTTTAAGTGGTTAAAATTTCAATGTTTTAAGAATGAGCAGCTTAGTGTGTCATTTTGTAACTGTTTACTGACGAAGATAGCTATAAGTAATTGAGAATTATAGTGTTGAAATGTAAATTATATTAACTTAAAGATGATTACAAAAATACAATTTTCTAACCACTCAGTTTATAAGCAATTTATTTTAATAATTTATTGTGTGTTTCAACTGTATTTCCTATTATTAATGTATTTTTTCTTTCCAAAACCATTTTAAGAAGGAATATTCTTGTAAAATATAAACTAATAGTGACTTTAATAATTTGCAACTAATTCTTTACACATATGTATGATTTAATTGGAATATAATTCCCATTTAATAAATATATGTATTTCCTTTAGAAATATGGAAAACTGGTTATTGATAAGCCAGTTTATTACATAATATTTTTTTATAAAAATTCTCCAGTCATAAATACTTCCTCAATTGAACCAGATTAGTACTAGGGGTACTCTACTGTACCACTCGATGTAATTATCAGTGTACCACATCGCCAGCTATATCTTGAGCATATTTCATTGCTAACTCAGCTTTCAGCTTCATTCTTGGCGTTTCGCTCCAGTTAATTCCACATCAGCCCATCGGCCCATGGTCCATTATCAGTCTTGAAAAGCGTAGAATCAAAGTTTCTCTTATCGTTTGTAACGGTTAATTGCGCCACAACCTCGGACTATCTTCTCCCCGTTTTATCAAGTCATACCAAGTGCTATAGTATTCGAACGAATGCGTGTCAAAAGTCGAGCGGCAAAAAATGAGAATGCAAAGACATTGAAATTTTCTTTACCATGCATATTATACAATTTAAATTACGTCAAGTGACAGTGAGAAAATGATTTTTTTATTTAGCGCTTCGTTCTTTTTATTGTATAAGCAGTGCATTGCGAATGCGAAACAGAGATAGACTAGTAGAAGGCAAATGTACACAGAAAATAATTTTACATTTTACTTTTATTTTTTGGCTGGTGTCATTTATTATATTTTTTGTTTATAAAAACATATATAGGTATAGTCTCTATATATACACTATAGTACTATTGTTATAATTACAAAAATTGTTTTTAACAAGTTACAAGATTTTACATTTACATTTCAGTGTAGTAGAAAAGAGAGTTTTGGTTGTTGCTCTCTCAACCTTTATGTGTGATTTTCCTTACACTTTGGAACGGCCATAAAATGCAAATATGCGAAAACGTTAAACACATTATGACAAAATCAAGCTGAAAATAAATTCTGATGCTTGTCTATAAACTTGAGCTACGTATCTTTTAGATTGCAAATAACTTTGAGTGAAAAATAAGAGAAACTGAAGTAAATATTTATATTGTGGGTCGTGTTTATTGTGGCAGAACCCACCTCCAACCACTTGTTGCGAAATTAAATTTAAAACACAAACAATGAACTGGCCAACAAAAAATGCTCGTACACAAAGCTGTTCATTAACACGCTTCGGTTGGCGTTTTGAGTTAATTAATAAAACAGTTAGCGTAGTTGGGTTTTGACGGATAATCGTATAAAGTGTGGGCAGGGTTTTGGCCAATTTGAATGATGTCAGTGGTGCAGGTAATCAAATAAAGGGGTGGGTGGTTTTACAGAAGGTCCCTCTGAAGGTTCTCTTTTGTTAATTGCCTTTTAACACCCTTATCTGACATTCTTAAGGTGAAGTTTTAGATAAAACTGTTCAGTAACAACATTTTTAAACGCTATACATGAGGGTACATACATATATGAAAATGAATCTCATAAATGATTAAATCAAAATAAAGCATTGCCCATATTTATAAAAAAAAATATTTATAAATGTTGATTTAATTTAAATTAAAATCACTTTGTTTTCTAATTTTAATTATAGATTAAATGTCATGTTAGTTGACATTCATGAGTGGTATTCTAATTAAATGATTTCTTTATCAATCTGACAATTCAGCAATATGGGAAAGTATGTCGTTTTCATAGACTAAAGATAGGGTCGAATGAATCAGCGATGATATGACTAAATTCATGGGTGTTGCTAGCGGGGAACAACCTCTTTCTTTTAAACAAAAAACCTTGAGGTATTGTGGAATATACCACTATGGTTTTGTTTGTTTGTAAACTAAAAAAATTGACTTTCAATTTTTATTGAATACATTCTATATATTAAATATAAAAACAAGTTTAAATTAACAATTTTGTACTCGTAAGCTAAAGTTGAAATTTATATTACTAAAGCCAAATTTCTCGTATTTGTACAAAACAAAGAAATAAATCTAATCTAGCTTACCATGAAAACGAGGAAATGGGTATAAATTCAATAAGCTACCCTACTCGTAATATGTGTAATTCCACTTGGGATTAGCTTGATTCTTATCCAGTTAATTTGCCCACTGATATCCATTACACTTACTCATATTCTACTCTTATTCTAGGTAAAAACTCACTGGAGCGTAGCGCCAATTCCCGGTTCGAGAAGCCCATAGACTATGTGGAGTATCTGCAGAATGGGGAGCACAGCACGCACAAGGTGTACCAGTGCGTGGAATCTTTGCGCGTGGCCCTCACCAGCAATCCGATCTCGTGGATCAAGGAATTCGGGGTGGCGGGCATTGGGGCAATCGAGAAGCTGTTGGCTAAGTCAAAGAAGGATGCCAGCTATGAGAAGATTGAGTTCGAGGCGATTCGCTGCCTGAAGGCTATCATGAACAATACGTGGGGCTTGAATGTGGTGCTCAATCCGGATCAGCATAGTGTGGTGCTGCTGCTGGCACAATCTCTGGATCCCCGCAAGCCGCAGACCATGTGTGAAGCTCTGAAACTGCTGGCCTCCTTCTGCATTGTCTACGAGCGTAATGGCTATGAGAAGGTGCTGCGAGCTATTACCACAATAGCAGCCACATCCTTCAAGGCCAGCGAAAGATTCCGACCCATAGTGGATGCTTTGTTTCAGGACCAACAGGATCCCAAACGAGAGTTGGCTTGTCACAGTTTGATTTTCATTAATACTCTCACAAATACCCCCACGGACTTAAATTTCCGACTGCATTTGCGATGTGAGATTATGCGGATGGGTCTGTACGATCGTTTGGATGAGTTCACTAAAATCGTGGAGGAAAGCAATAATGAGGCATTGCAGCAGCACTTTAAGATCTTCAACGAGATTCGTGAGGACGACTTCGAGGAGTTTGTGCAGCGCTTTGATAATGTTACCTTCAATATGGATGATGCTACGGATTGCTTCGATGTGCTCAAAAACATGGTGACTGACACCACTTCCGAACCCTACTTCCTGTCCATCTTGCAGCATTTGCTTTATATAAGGGATGACTTCTACTTCCGACCTGCCTATTATCAACTAATTGAGGAGTGTATCTCGCAGATTGTCTTCCACAAGGGCTACTGTGATCCGAACTTCGAGAACAGGAACTTCAATATAGACACATCTCTGCTGCTGGACGATATTGTGGAGAAGGCCAAGGCCAAGGAGTCGAAGCGATCGGAGGAGTATGAAAAGAAGATCGAGCAGCTGGAAAGCGCCAAACAGGAAGCGGAGGCGAAGGCGGCTCATCTTGAGGAGAAGGTCAAACTGATGGAGGCTAATGGTGTGGCGGCTCCGTCGCCCAACAAGCTACCCAAAGTGAATATACCCATGCCACCGCCACCGCCAGGCGGAGGACCACCACCTCCACCGCCGCCACCAATGCCGGGCAGAGCTGGTGGGGGCCACCTCCTCCTCCGCCACCTCCCATGCCTGGAATGGCTGGTGGACCGCCTCCGCCTCCTCCCATGCCCGGAATGGGAGGCCCACCGCCGCCACCCATGCCTGGTATGATGCGCCCCGGCGGTCCACCACCGCCGCCCATGATGATGGGCCCCATGGTTCCGGTGCTTCCTCATGGTCTTAAGCCTAAAAAGAAGTGGGAAGTCAAGAATCCTATGAAGCGGGCCAACTGGAAGGCTATTGTTCCTGCCAAAATGTCTGATAAGGCTTTCTGGGTCAAGTGTCAGGAGGATAAGCTGGCCCAGGATGATTTCCTTGCCGAACTTGCCGTGAAGTTCTCCTCCAAACCCGTGAAGAAAGAGCAAAAGGATGCGGTGGACAAGCCAACGACGCTGACCAAGAAAAATGTCGATCTGCGTGTGCTGGACTCAAAGACTGCCCAGAATTTGGCTATCATGTTGGGAGGATCGCTGAAGCACCTATCGTATGAACAGATCAAGATTTGTTTACTGCGCTGCGACACCGACATACTGTCTTCCAATATCCTGCAACAACTTATTCAGTACCTACCGCCTCCAGAGCAACTTAAGCGTCTGCAGGAGATTAAGGTCAAGGGAGAACCTCTGCCACCGATTGAACAGTTCGCTGCCACGATAGGTAAGTAGAATATATTTTTATGTTTCCAAAAATCGCAATATATTTATGTGACTTATTTTCAGGGGAAATCAAACGTCTTTCTCCGCGTCTTCACAATCTGAACTTTAAGCTTACCTATGCGGATATGGTGCAGGATATTAAACCCGATATTGTGGCAGGAACGGCAGCTTGCGAAGAGGTGCGAAATAGCAAGAAGTTCTCAAAAATCCTGGAACTTATTCTTCTGCTTGGCAACTATATGAACTCGGGCTCCAAGAACGAGGCCGCTTTTGGCTTTGAGATCAGTTATCTAACTAAGCTGTCCAACACTAAAGATGCGGATAATAAGCAGACATTGCTGCACTACTTAGCAGATCTGGTGGAGAAGAAATTCCCAGATGCCCTCAACTTCTACGACGATCTATCGCATGTAAATAGGGCGTCGCGGGTCAACATGGATGCCATCCAAAAGGCGATGCGGCAGATGAATTCTGCGGTAAAGAATCTGGAAACTGATCTGCAGAACAACAAGGTCCCACAGTGTGACGATGACAAGTTTAGCGAGGTGATGGGCAAGTTTGCCGAGGAATGCAGGCAGCAAGTGGATGTGCTGGGTAAGCTTTATTCTCTGGAAGAAATCGATTTACCAAATTCAAAGCATGGCTGTAACAAATTAACAACTTCATATTATTACAGGCAAAATGCAGCTGCAAATGGAGAAGCTGTACAAGGATCTCAGCGAGTACTATGCCTTTGATCCCACCAAATACACTATGGAGGAGTTCTTTGCGGACATCAAGACCTTCAAGGATGCTTTCCAATCGGCACACAACGACAATGTCCGTGTACGCGAAGAGCTGGAAAAGAAACGACGTCTGCAGGAGGCACGGGAACAGTCGGCACGGGAGCAACAGGAGCGGCAGCAGCGTAAAAAGGCTGTGGTTGACATGGATGCCGCGCAGACGCAAGAAGGCGTGATGGACAGTCTCTTGGAGGCGCTGCAAACGGGCTCCGCCTTTGGTCAGCGCAACCGACAGGCCCGGCGACAGCGTCCAGCTGGAGCGGAACGGAGGGCCCAACTCAGTCGGAGTCGTTCGCGAACCCGAGTTACCAACGGACAGCTGATGACCCGCGAGATGATCCTTAATGAGGTTCTAGGCTCCGCGTAGAAATGATAAAACAAGCAATTTCCCTCTGTACATATATAAATAGACATCTGTAGCGATCTAAGGGCCTAGGATCATTAGTTGTGTACATCTGTGAATCCGTGTGTGTAGCCTTGTTTACATATCAACTCGATTGACGTGACCACAAGATTTAACGATAGATTGGATGGTCAGCAGTAAAAACTAAGTACTAAATGACGGGGGCTAGTCGTAGATCGATGTTCGAAAAAATACATTGCTGATAAGTAGGAGTCGTGGGTTCATTTTGACCAAAAGTTAGTTCAATTTTTAGAAGTTTTGATTTTAATTGGATTTTTAATAGATTTGTTGATAACTTATAACATTTTGTATAAGATATAAATTTTTAAAATTGAAATTCGTGTGCACAAAGCAATTTACAAAACAAAAAATTTGAGTATATTTAAGTAAACAGATTGGCTGGCCGATTTAAGTTCCCATCTTAACCTAAGTAAATCCATTTATTCTAGACTTATAAAAGGTGAAGTGTATATTAAATTTAGGAACTGACTTTATATTTAAGTACCAACCTTATACAAAAATATATTGTGAAAATAGTAAAGAGATAGTTTCCGAAGCGCCACCGTTTGACACTTAAATATTGTAAAGCAATTTCTACGAGTCCAGGAATCAGCAATGTATCAAAATCGAATAATTCAACATCCGCTACCCAATATGAAAAAACATATATTTTTATACGCTTTTACTTCTGAAACTGAAAACCCGGTTAATGATGCCTATTCTTATTCTAAATACTTGTAAAAGGAACTGAGAAACCAAGTCAGAATATTATTTATCAATTGATATATGTCTTGTGGTTCTATACACACTCTATTCCTATTCTACTGTGGCATGTTCCGATCATTTTGTTGTGCACTTCGTTTTCGAGGCACTCACTAGGGCGAGATTTATATCAAAATGAAATTCCTTTTGTATTTAATTTGTTTTTAAGCGAAACTCTTTTAAATTTGTTTATTTTAATTCCCTTAATCCATGCTATACATAACATTGTTAATTAATGCCTATTTTTTTGGACAATGATCGTATATTGAAAATAAACTTTTACCAAAACTTTAAAAATAATACAAAAATGAACCAATTAATTAAGAAATGGTTTATGGGTAATCGTTGTTCGTGTTTGAAAGACCTTTAATCAAGAAATTTAACAACAATTCATAGATCTACTTTTGCAATAATCTTGGGAAATTTCACAAAAAGGTTTGGCTGCGAATCCAAAAATAATTTTGGCCTTTCCACTCAAATGTGACTTTCCGTTTTTTGTTGTTCTTCTGCACATTAATTTGTTTTATTAACAAAGATATTTTATCGCTAATGTCGCGGCACCCATAAAGGTGTTTTGATTGTGGTGGTTGAGGAGGCGGTGGTTGGTACAACGCAAAATGCACTTGCTAAGGGGTCGGCTGGGGGCAATGGGTGGAATGAAGGGGGTTTTTGGAGGGGTTTGGCCGGGGCCAATGGCCATAAAACTCTCGAAAACGTTAAACGAACCGACAAACAGCAAATGCCGCACGACAAAGACACATCTACATCCATATTCACATCCGTCTGGCGATGACGACCACATTATATATACGAACCTACAGATATAAGTTATTAGGTTTGGGTCTGGCACTGGGACATATCTCTAAATGGTCTGATTGCCCCTTGAGTTTTATTTTGGAGGCTGCTTTATGGGCCATGGCGCTTGCTTTGCTTTCTTTATGGATTTATTAACATAATTGAAGGAAAATATATAAATACCATCGAGTTCTTGGCAGGTTGTTAATGTCAATGTCGGGACAGATTCTAATTTACAATGGACAGATAAAGATGCATTAGAGTGTTTTAGAGATCGAAATAAATCGTTCATAAAAGGTTTATTTTAACGTGATACGGTATTAGGGGATGATCATTATATTAAGTTAATCTGACTCTACCGATCTTCAATCCCCTGTGGCTGGATCTTTAGAAAAATACCTTTTAAAATATATATTAAATTTATTTAAAATTCTTGTATATAATAAGACTTTTAATTTAAAATTTAATCAACGTGTTGTAAGGAAGATCAGTAAAATATGTAAAAAAAAAAATGCTAAGAATAGAAGAGTGAGACCTAGAAATAAACATGTTATGATAACAGTATTTTCTTGATATAAAACAAAAAAATTGAATGTTCTTAAATATTCTGATTGGAAAAAATATAGAGAGACAATTTATTATTATCGAACTCAAGAGAATTGATCATGAAAATATCTAAAATTTTGTTGTTCAATTTATTTACAACATTTACAATCAAGGATCGTAACACGATTTAAAAATTCCTCCATCTAGAATGGAGTTACCATATGTTTACATAGATCACTTAGGGATTAGCCTTTTTGCGTGCCCCTAATGACTTCCAGGTAACATCGTAGACTGTTACATGACTTGCCCGTGCCTGGGATAAAATAAGAGCCCAACCTTATAGAACTCATAGGACCTACCCTTCCCGAAGACCCAGCCCACGCAGTAAATTCCGCCGAATTGTTGACGGTTTGCGAAAAAAAAACAAAATCTGGGCTGTGGCTGCCTAATTGTTGTGTGAACTTTATGGGCCCGATCGAGGGGCAGGTCAGCCCACCAGCACCACCTTATAAGCCTTGTTTGGTGTCCCCGCGCAACCGTTACGATCGCATTCTAAATTTTGGTCCTTGGGTCGCGTTCGCATAATCATAAAATCGCCTTTTGTACGCGGGCCCTTTCGATTGTTTTACAATATGTTTTGTCTTACGGACATTAAGGGGTTTTTTGTTTAGACACGATCCCGAACCAGTTTCTGGTAGTTCAGCGTTAATAAGTGAGTTTTAAGTACCTCCTGCGCGAGGCCAACTGCCTTGTGTGCTTCTGTTCTGTTTCGTGTCCTTTTTAGGGATCTCGGTTCCCATCCATTATGTCAGCTGCATTCATTTCTAATTATTTGACGCGACATTTGCAGTTTTACGATCACTCTACTGACAACCATCTCGGCAATCAATGAATTTATTTTTTAAACATCTTTGTAGGATAAGAATTTCTGGAACTCTCTGGTATTACTCAATCGGCACGAGCTTACCCTCTTCTTAGGGATTACAATTGGGATTAGCGGGGCTTAGTATTCTGGAGAAAAAATTAATAAGAATGAAAATGAAATGAAATGGAATAAATTTGACGTGATCAGAGGTACTTAAGTTAGAGCTTACAAAGTAATTTGAGCTGATCATACAAATATTTGATGATTATTTTAAGTATATAAAAAAAGAAAAACCTTTATATATCGATTTATATCAGTTACAATTGTACACTTTATACAGATTTAAATCATTTACAAAGAATTTTACACTGCGCTTTCTTGCAATATTTAAATATGAAAAAGTTTTTGATACAACTCAAATTAGTTATAATTTATTGAAACATTTTTCGTACAAGCATGTTGGATAATTTCAATTAATAAATATCTAAGTTCACGATTATAATATTTTCTTGATTATGACCATCTATAAAATAATTGTTACGTTATTAAAGAAGCTTTTTAAATTTTGATTTTATTGTGTATATATAATTATTGAATAAATACATTATTGGAAATACCAGAAGGGTTTGTCCTATTTGCAGAGATAAATTTTACATATATGTTCAGCACTCATTTAAATTAATTATTTTATAACATATTTTAATTTTAAATAATACAACAATGCTTTCATGCATTATTAGCTGAGAGTTAATAAACATATTTCATTGTACAGTATTGTGGTATTCTATTATTTATTTATATTGCTCGTAGAGTGCATTGAAAATTATTTTAACACTCTTAACAAAAAAATTCTTCAAATTTTAATGTTGTTTTTACTATTCGTTTTGCTCAAATGTACTGCATCGGTTTTTTAAATTTGATTATTTTTAAAAAAGCAAATATGTTAAAAATATATATGGCAGGAACGGATAATTGGAAAAACAATTAATTTCAAAATAAATTCATGGCAGGGTCGTTTCTAAAACCAATTTGTAGTAAAATACTTATTTAGTACAAAATGTAAACCATTTTACTTCCGAGAGGGGGTAAAAGTTTAATCCCCGTAAATCCGTTGAGAGCTTATAATATAAAAAAAATGAATTGAATTTTTATCAGAAATATTTCGTTTATTCATTTATTTATGTTTGGTATTAACTAAATCGTTTTTAGTCGATTTTACATTAGTTATGAAATGTTTTTTAGATTGGTTTTTAAATTGTTCAAATCGGATAATTATTTCCAAGTTTTAAACTCTGTTTTATTTGTGTAAACACTTTTTTATATTACATCAAATGTAGGTATTGCATGTAACACCTTATCAATGCCAATCTTTTTCCGCTTTCCTTGTAATCCAGGCGTTTTAATATCATTGCTTACATGTCAATTATGGCTATAGCTTTACAACTCTATCTATTGTGCTATAACTATATGTATATCGGGGAGCCCATATAAACGACAATTGCTTGGCAAATAACAAGTATCTGGACAATGGAGCTCTAACCTCATTAAATGTGTACAATCTATTTACATATATGGTTTGCGAATGTATAAAGAATTAAATCTGCAGGGCAAAACATTGATTATTCTCCAGATGGAGCTATATCCCATGTTACGACCGTGGAAACATAATTTTACAGCCACTAATTGCATAATACACGCATTTATATCTATGCAATTACTTAATTAGCCAACGGCAATTGCAATTAAAGCACGTACAAATCGAAAGCGGGCCATAAAGGAAAAGGGGTTTTTCTTGGCCAAGAAATTACGACAAATTGCCTACCTGGCTTAAGGGGGGCGTGGCCTACCTGACCGCCAGCCATCGCAAAGCGGTGAGAAAGAGACGGTGTAGAACCAAAAACGAGACGGCCGTTGAAACACAAGCCATCTTGAATTTTGAACGTGCAACGGAAATGAGGGTTAAAAAATGCCTCCTAATGGGAGTTTCCATGGGCCAAACAGAGACAACTAGTGTGCGTGCTGCTCCTCGGTGGTTGTTTTTGTTTGAGCCTCTCTGCCTGTTTATCTGATTTCGTTACTTTGGGTTTTTTATCAGCCGAGTTTGCTTTACGCTTTCAGTACGTTTTCGACTTGCGTACAGACTTGACGTCGCAGCGGAAAATCAGCGGAATAATATCAGAATAAAGGAAAAACAGTTAGTACCCGTTTTAAAAGTTTCCATCGCGTGAGTGGGTGCTACGAAAAATAGTGCTTTTAAAAGTATCGATATCGTGTGTGATTGTGCGGCTTAAAAACAAAACACATCACTAGCCAAGTGATAGCTGTAAAAATTGACAAAGCAAAATACATATAACCCAACCAAAACTTCAGAAAATGTGCAATTAAAATATTGGCTTGCAATTGGAGAGACAAAGTGGTTAATAAGGGATTACCTACAGAAATTGAAACTAAGGATTATCTTCAACAAGCGTACCTTTAGCTAGTATAACCTCAAAAATGGTGTCGCACTATTACAATACACTGCCCTACACGCAAAAACACACGGCCGCAAATTTGGCCTATGCCTCGGCGGCGGGTCAACCGTGGAACTGGACGTCCAACTATCACCACACGCCGCCGAACCATCAATTCTTGGGCGATGTGGACTCTTCCCATGCCGCCCATCATGCGGCCGCGGCTCACCAGATGTACTACAACTCCCATCACATGTTCCATTCGGCGGCGGCGGCAAGTGCCGGGGATTGGCATTCACCCGCTTCGAGCACAGCGGCAGCTGATAACTTTGTCCAGAATGTGCCCACGACGGCGCACCAACTGATGCAGCAGCATCACCAGCACAGCCACCATCATGCCCATGCCTCGAGCAGTTCCGCCAGTTCTGGGAGCAGCAGTAGTGGTGCCCCAGGTGCACCACAACTTAACGACACCAACAGCAGTAGCATTGGCGGAGGAGGAGGTGGCGGGGGGCCCGCTGAAGGTGGACCCGGTTCCGTGCCACCCAATCACCAGCAACATATCGCAGAGGGTTTGCCATCGCCACCGATCACCGTTTCCGGATCGGAGATCTCAAGTCCCGGGGCTCCAACTTCCGCTTCG